GCATACTTGTTTAGTCTTACTAGGCATTATACTAAAAACTTCACGGAGATGGTATCGTCCAATACTAACAGCCTGATGGGCAGGAGTCATTCTTCCTACTGTACAGGTGTGGAAATAGAGTCCTGGAGAAGTCCAGCTATGGGCCCATGGCCACACAGTGGCAGATTCTGCATGTAGCCTGTTTCTAAAGCTCATGAACTTAACCACTCGGCACACTGCCAGTGTCCGGGTCTGCAGAGTCACCAGTAAAGGTCCAGAAGGCCAGGAGCTCAAAAATAGGCAAGCAGGGCCTGGCACAGAGCGGCAGGGGCGGCAGGGGCAGCAGGGGCAGCAGGGGCGATGCGCATTGTGAGTTGAGGCTAGCTCAGCCCTGTGATACCCCAGCGAGTGCAGCGCCCCGCGTTCAGAGGTCGCCCAGGGCTAGGCCTTCCTCCCTGGTCCAGGCCCAGCCCAGCCCTTGCTGCGCTTCTGCTCTGTCCTCCCCTGCAGTCGGTCATCTGCTGTCGCCCAGAGAGCAGACCAGAGGTTAAGTACTCTGCTTGGGTGGGAACTTGGGGTCCCTGCAGGGTTCCAGAAATCAGGGGCTGGGGGCAGGCTTTCCCGCGCTTCCTTCCCACAGAGCCTGGAGAGCCCCCAGGTGAGCTGTGAACTTCTCACCCCGGCTGAGCTGGCGGGGTTCTTGCGGCATTATGGTGCCCTCCGATGGCTGATTGCGGAACAGCCTCGACGTCTCCGTCACCTATGCCAAGTCGGGGCCTCATTTATTCTCACAGTTGAATCATGTTTAAAGAAAAGAATTTCATGTCATGCTGATAAATTGTAGTCTCGTCTCTCCCTTGTTACCCAAGTTAACAAGAATCTTTGACATGGAAATTTTCCCAAATGCAGACTTTTTCAAATGTGTCTAATTTTAAGGTGTACTGGATTGTTAAAAACACACATTTCTGGGTTCCACTTCAAAAGTACTTAATCGAAATCTCCAGGGACATGTCCTGGGAAAATGCATTTTAACAGGACCCCCAGGCAATGAACAGAATCAAGCTAATTGGGAAAACTCAGTTCTGGGCATAAGTACTCTCCCAGTACAAGCTGCCCTTGCTCTGGACTTTGCTGAAGAAGCCCTTGTCCCCAAAGGCCTGAAAGACTTAGTAATGCTCATGTCAGGGAGTAGAACACTCTGGAGAGATACTGATCTCAGAGGGGGACAACCTGACTACCAGGATTCGTGTTGGACTTAGGGGGTCATCATTAACCTGTCTGTCTCTGGGTTTTCCTTTAAAAAATGGAGCCGGGGGGTTCTGGCTGGCTCAGAGAATTGGTGGAGATGTCAAAGAATCGCTGAACATGAAAGCATGCTAGTGATGTGCTGAAGCCAGTTTACAATGGCTAGCAAGAGCTGGCTGGCAAAATTTTAGGACACTTTGAGCCAGTTATTAAATCACTGATGGTAGCTTAGAATGAGCAAAAGCACGGGGGCCTGCAGGTGGCGTGGTGGTTAAGGCGCTGGACACTCCCACACAGTAGACCACAGTTCGAGGCCCATACCTGGTGACTTGCTTTCTCACTTTCCCTCTCTTTCTCTCTGTGTCTCTCTGGCCTTGGCCCAGCAGTAGGTCTGGGCCATATGAAGTGGTTCTGAGCTTTTCCTCTCCCACTGTCACCTAGCTGTTGGCTGTGAGAGCAGCAGACCTCAAGGCCGAGCCTCTCCTCCAAGGTGCCTCTGGGTCCCCAATAACAGCAAGACCCTGGTAGACAAATTTGACTTGAAGCCCACAGACTCTAAAGTCCTAGGGAGAATGTAAGACCTCGAGGACTACCCAGTGCTACTTGCCCCAATCCTTTATAGCCAAGGTAGGGATTTAAGAGAGGAGAAAGAGGACAGGTTTTCATAACCTCCCTTAGGGTTGGTGGTGGGGTCTTAATCTGACTTATTAAGTAGGATCTCTATTCCTCCCCCCTCGAGAAAGAAGCCAGCCTTTGTCACACATCATGTTGCCAAGACCACGGTCTGCAGTTCCCCTTTATCTCAGAACTCCTAGCTGACTTTACGTTTCTCCTTTGGGAATACAGATTTTAATACCCTAAAACCACATGCACAAGAGGCGAATTGAGAAGTGCTGGTGAGTAGAAGCTGGGCGCACACCAGGCAGCATTGGGAGCATTGCCCACACCTCTAGACAGCGTCTGTCCTTCCCTTCCTTGGCCCCAAGCCTTGAGGTACCCATAAAGGATTAAAGAGGCACCTGCGCTCACTCTGGCTTCCAAGTTCCCTGGAAACTGAAGATGTCGTTAAGCCACATGTAAACCCAGCTATGTACCTTAGATCCCTTGAGACTTCTAGGATTAGAACAGTCCTCTTCAGGACCAGCAGATGGTGTAATGGTTGTGTCACTGGACTCCCACAGAGTCTACCATAGATTGAGCCCCAGACCCGGCAACTTCAAACTCACACCAGGTGTGTGTTTGCACTCACTGGAGAGACAGAAAGTGAGGAATCAGCCCCACCTGCCACCGGGGGTTGGTGGTGGTGGCAATACAGCAAGCTCTTCTCCTCCATTCTCCTCTCCAGATTTTGGGTACATGCCCCTGGCGTGAGTTTTAAGCTGCTGGATCCAGGACTCGAACTGTGGGCAACTGCATGGGAGTCTAGTGACATAACCATTTCGTCACCTGCTGGTCGCAAGCTGGCTCCTTCTTATACCACTCACTCTCTTGCCCACTCTGTGTTGCTTTGCTCCTTCTTTACCTTCTCCATGTTCTCTAACACATCATCCAGTTTATTTCTTTCGTGGTACTCATTTTATACTTACATATTTGTTTTCTTTTTTATTATCCATTCACTCTGCTTGACTCTAAACCAATGTCCCTGTTGTATGACTCTTTCTATATGTAGAATAGGGGTTGACATATAGTAGGGACTTGATAAAGACTGACTGAGAGCCAGCCCCATGGCACAGCAGTTTGGTACCGTGCACTGGAGGCTGCATCCCACGTGGCCAACTGAAACTCAAGTCCCATTCTGCTGAGTGTGCAGTCCCAAGATCTTGATGGGATGGAGAACTGGAGGTAAAACGATTGTGGCGTGACTTGGCCCCACTAGGGGTTGTCATTCTCCTCATGTATGCACATATGCTTTCTGGCATTAAAGAAGTTTAATATTGTGGACCTCTGGTCCTCAATCCCAGTCCAGCACATAGAACACACCAGACATTTTTCACTGCCACCTCCAGGAAAATAGATGCTAGCAAAGTAAAAAAATCCCAAAACATCTCGCCAATGCTAGCTTCAAGAAAAAGAAGCTGTGGAAGCCCAGACACCAAGAAGGTGAGATCTTCAACACAGAGAAGGAGAAATACAAGATTACAGACAGCACAAGATTGATCGGAAAGCAAATGTTACCAAAAATCAAAGCTGTTCCTCAGCTCCAGGGCTATCTGCAGTCTGTGTTTGGCCTTACAAATGCAGTTTATCCTCACAAATTGATGTTCCAAATTTCTTGCCAAAAATGGAATGAAATAAGTGATCGTATGTTAAACATTTTTTAAAAGTTTAACATTGAATAAAAATTTAACTGAATGAGTGGGCAAATGATGTGGAAGGATTACAACAGAGGCAAATGGCGTGAGTATTGGGTCTGGATTTCTTGAATAAATGTGAAAGGAGGAATAGATAAAGGAACGTGTAGAGTTGGAGAGATCTGTAGCAGGCATCATGAGCTTGAGATGACTAACAATTGTCCAGGTAAGACCAACAAGATACTAAAAATGTGTGTGAGGAGGCCCAGCAGATGGCGTAATGGTTATGGCACTGAATTCCCACATGGTCCACCATGGTTTGAGTCCTGGACTGGCAGCTTGAAACTTACTCTGGGCACAAGTGTATGCATGCCCAAAATCCCAAGAGGAGAACGGAGGAGAAGGGATTGGCCACCCCCCACCCAGGGGGTGGGGGGTGATTTCTTGCTTTCTGTCTCTGTCTCTCTGGCGAGCACATGTACCCTGAAAGCACAAATCTCTTTTTCAAAAAATAAATAAATAAAAAAGTGTGTGAGCAGTTACCACAGAAAATACAGCAAAGTCCAACAAGAGTAAGAAACTGGGAGCTGGATCCCACAGGGACAACAGCAAGGCTTAAGTCCTGGACCCAGTAACTTGGAAAAAATATACCAGGCACATGTGTAACCAAAATCCCGAGAGGAGAGTGGCGGAGAAGGGATTGCAATGTGGCCATCCACCCGGGGTGGGGGTTGGGGGGCAGTGTTTCCTCACTTTTCCTCTCTCTCTCACTTTCTGTCCCTCCAGCAAGTGCATGTGCCCTATAGAAAAAACAAACAAACAAACAACAACAAAAAAAAAAACGGTCCAGCAGGTGGTGTGGTGGTTAAACACGCTGGATTCTCACATGACCAACCACGATTCGTGGCTCAGACTGGCGGCTTGCTATCTCGCTTTCCCTCTCACTCTCTGTCTGTTTCTGGTCAAATTAAAAAATAATAATAACAAAAGGAAATAAATATTGAAAAAGAAAAAAAGCTCTCCTACTTAAAAGAGTTGTCACTACAAGGGTTAGAATTTATATTAGGATACAAGCAGGAAGTAAACATCTTCTTTGGCCCAGCCTGTTCACTGTTTGAAAATGAAACTCAGACCAGCTCGGGGTCTTCAGAGTGAAAGGTGTGTGACTGCAAGGCCAGCTGGGCTGAGCCATCAGTCAGGACTGGTCGACACGCTCTCCAGCTACCCAATGGTACTGTATTCACTGTTTAAGTCTTTCTTTCACCATGCATCCCCCCCAATGAACTCTTTACCGATCTTATCTTTCCACCACTTCACTCAAACCCCTATTTCTATCTAACTTTTTCCAGCTAAATTATTCTTCTCCTGTGTATCAACCTGATTGTTTATCAACCTGATTGTTTCTTTAGTAACCTCTTTCGACTGCCTTGAACAGTTCTGCATCCTGTCCCGTCATGGCTATCCCCTCTCCCTTTCCTTTTCCAGATACACTGCCGTGGTCATGCCGGTGCACTACCAGCAGAGCACAGGGCAGAGCTCCTGCCGGCGGGTGGCCCTCATGATTACAGCCGTCTGGGTACTGGCCTTCGCTGTCTCCTGTCCGCTCCTTTTTGGCTTCAACACCACAGGTAACAACAGAGGATTCACTTCCAGCACCCATGTGACACATGGCTCCCCCAAGTGTCTGGAAGTGGTGCTCAAACGAATGAGGATGCTATCCATGGGCTACAAAGTTTTGGCCTTTGATGGTTATAAGTATAATATGAAGCAAAATCTCATCAATTATTGGCACAGGGGTAAAGTTCTGTCCCAATTAATGAAACGCCTGGCTCATCTTTACTTTGGGAAAAAAGGTCATTATATTCTTTTGAAGAAATGTACCACTTAAAAAAAATAAACTATACTATTATTTCAAGTGAGGTTTGGTAATGAAACAAAGACAATTCATAACAGACTTATAATGCAAAGTAACATCTCATGAAAGTCCTAGAACAGGAGCTACGTTTCTAACTCTTTACTCAGTAATAATTATTTCTGACATTGGAGAACTAGTATAGATTCCCAAGTTACTGAAGTGTATTTTTTTTCTTTTTAATATATAAAGATTCTGGTAATGATGTCTGACACATTTTTTTTTTTTTGGAGAGGTTTTTGCGATAGGGCGTGTGTGCTCGCCAGACAGACAGAGAGAGAAAGAGAGACAGAAAGTGAGAGGGGATGGCCATGCTGCAATCCCTTCTCCTCCATTCTCCTCTCAGGATCCTGGCATGCACGCACACACATCCAGCTTGAGTTTTAAGCTGGGTCTGGGACGAGAACCACAGTCGACTACATGGGGGAGTCCAGCGACATAGCCATTATGCCAACTGCTGGTCCCGACCCATTTTTATTTTTTTGCCAGATAGGCAGAAGGATTGATGAACAATACAAATATCTGAGATGTGTAGGATTTAAGCATATGACACCAATCCAGAATCATACCTTATATGGAGCAGTGACTTCTGCAAATGTACCATGTCCGTTTTTCAGTCTCAAGAGTTTCATTTGTCAGATGGGAGCTATTAGCACACATGGTCTAGTCATGGGCATTGACAATGTACACCGAGTGCTTGCTAAGGTAGAACTGACTGACTGGCATGCTCGTGTCCATCTGCATTTCTTGTTTTGTCCATTTGCATTGGTTCATTCAATTCCTGCTTGCACTGGTTCATGCAATGCCTGCTTTGTTCCAGGTTTGTGGGTTTGGGTATGTATGTTCTAGTCACATAACCAGGTGCTTATGTATGGATATGCAAATATTAGATTAATAGATTATATCTAAATAGAGGTGAATTCTAACTCATCAGTAGTCTTCTAAGTGTCATTTTCAGGACAGTAATTTAGAAGTCAGAACATATTTAGGAAGACAGAAAGAGGCTTTAGAGCCAGAAAAAGCGAAGTTCCAGCTCTACTACACAGCAGCTGTGTCTCCTTAAACAAGCACTTAACTTTTTCCATTCAGTCTCCTTATTGATAAATTTGGGATAATAATACGCTGGAGCTTAAATGAGAAAATTTCAGTTGGGATGTTTTCAACATTTATTTTTATACATAGCCTCTTGCAAATAAGTCCAGCAACTTCATCTCTAAAATTAAATGTTTCATATAAATTCTGTAATACATGGCATATTACTCTAGATATTATACATCTTTACTTATTACTGCTCAGGGTTATAATAAATTTTTTTTAAAAAAAAGTTTTTTTGGGAGGGAACCAGCAGTTAGCGTAATGGCTATGTTGCTGGACTCCCACGTAGTCGACCGTGGTTTGCGTCCCGGACCCGGTGGCTTAAAACTCACGCCGGGCGCGTGTGCGTGTGGGCCCAAGATCCTGAGAGGAGAGTGGAGGAGAAGGGATTGCAGCGTGACCATCCCCCCTGGGGAGGTGATTTCTCGCCTTCTGTCTCTATGTCTCTGTCTGTCTGGTGAGTGCACGCACCCTATAGTGAAAACCTCTCAAAAAAAAAAAAGTTTTTTTTTTTTGCCTTAGGGTATGTGCGCTCACTGGAGAGAGAAAGAAATGGAGACAGTGAGAGGGAAACTGAGAAATCACCTTTTCTCCCCCATCCTTGTCCTGGGATCTTGGGCACGCACACATGTACCTGGCATGAGTTTCAAGCCAGTGGGTCTGGGACTTGAACCATGGTTAGCCATATGAGAGCCCAGTGACATAACTGCTACACCATCTGCTTGTCCCCAAAACCAAGTATATTTTTATGTGTGGTTTTAAAAACAAATTTGAGTACATGTAATTTTCTCTTTATTCATTGACTTTAGAATCTAACCTTACATAGGATGTAAATCCATTTTACTTTCTCAGAGAGATTCCTTTCAATTAAATGAGGATTAAATTGAGATAACAGAGATACACATGCCAAGCACATACTACCTGCTCAAGGTCAGGCTTGTTCTCTACCACGTGAAAGGTTGAACAACCAGGTTATCAACAAATATTTGCCTGGTTAACCCAGGGTGTTCTTAAAATAAGACGTTGCTATCATCTTTGCTTTACTCTTTATTATTTGTTACTTTGTTATTTTAACTGAATGACAGGTTGTACACAAATACCTCTTGTAAATGCGGACATCACAGAGCACCAGCCCTGAACACAGCTGTAGAAACTGACTGGGTGACACTAAAATACCCTTTTAGCGGGTGTGAGCTAGGCTGTATGTGTTGGTCAAATAACTAAATCACCTTGTGCAGCCTTGTTCCTATAAGAAACTGCAACCTAAGTTGGAATTTACAGTGTAGGAAACTCACCACCCCTGCTAGAGCAAAGCACAGCTCACCCTGTCGGCCAGCTGCAGATCCCCGTGGGCTGGGTTGAGTGTGGTTCTTCTTCGTCAATCTTGGAGGCTGGTGAGGGCAATCTTACTCTCTCTCACACACACACACCCTGGTAACAGTTGAAAGGATCTTAAAATCTGACATGAGACCGAGTTCCTCGTTCATGTCATCATCTAAAGTGAAGAAGAAGGATGACCTCATTGCACTGCTGTTGCCACCAGTGAGATCATGATCGTTCCAGAAACAAAACTCAGGAAAATCTTTCCGAAAGGGTTTTCAAATGCAGAATTGACAAGGTCTGAGGCTTCGCATGCGCTCTTTCTCTGCTCTCACCTCTCATAGCCTCTCTCTTACTTTTTAGCTCATTATTTAACACTGTAGCAAACCCTCCAATGATTCCCATATTGCATCAGAGCGCCCGGCCTGTCCTAAGAGCCCAGTAGATGAAGCTGGTACGATTGCCGTTACTAGTTTATTTATCAGAGACATTTTCTGTGCTTCAAAATTTAACTACGCGTCTGCTCCAGGGGAGGTCTAAACAATGGTAGTTATATCGCTGGAAATTGGCCTCTATAGGGAATCAGCAAGGGGAACTTGAGGCGGGAAGCCCAGTCATCCTTCTCTGCCTCAACTTGACCTTCACGGTACAGCTTCATTATCTTGACAGATGTGGCTCCTCCAGCAGCTCTCCCACCTGTGAGGAAATTCCCAAGTTCCTTCAAAAGCCCAGTATAAATGCCATCGCTCAGCCATTTTTCCTACTCACTCTGTGATAAGTAGAAGAGGGGAAAGGGCAGGACGCTGCCAATAACACCCGATATTGGAAGTAGCTGGACTCCCACTAAAAAGTGAAGCACAAAAAAGGAACTTTCTGGTAGAGCTCTTTGAGCCTGGGCTGCCACGTGTGATTATACATTGTTTAAAGATGGTGTGGTGATTAAGGCACTGGATACTCCCACACCGGCGACCACACTTCCAGTCCTGGACG